TCAATATATTTATATATATATATATATATATATATATATAGGTTATTGGAATAATACATGTAACTCTCGTGTATAAATATATATTTATCGTATGTATATCGTGATAATGATAAAGTACTACAAATTGTAATTTTTTTCTATGTTTGGTAAAATAAGAAAATAAAATATAATATATATAGATAAATATTGTTTTATTTAGTTATGAATATAAAATAAAAATCCTAGTAAATAAATAATTGACGTTGCATATTTTGATTTTTCACTTATTTAAATTTGATTCAACTTGTGTAATTAACCAAACAAAAAATGAAACGTGCTAAATAATTTTGTTGTTTCTTGCACTCTATCTATCTACACAACCAACAAAAGGTGGGTGAAGCTCCATTAACTTTTTGACACATAGATAAGTGGGTCATTTATCTACTTTATTTAAAGCTAGAATGCTAGCTGCCACTGACAAGAGAGAGAAAATATATTTACACAATAAATTGAGTACGTTTGTTGCTTTTCTTTTTTAATTGTTAATATTATATTAATTTTGAGATTACATCGGATATGTTATTATTGTTGTAGTTGTGTGCTAGTTTGAAGATTTTTTTTATAAACCTAGAACAAAAATAACAAAAAGTAAAATAAATTTTATAATTAATATCAATCCCATCAGAAATAATACATTTCACTAAATATATAATAATAAAATAAAAAATGATTGTGGATCCACAATATATACTTGTTGAAAAAATAAATTTTGAATTTTCTTCCTAATATTTTTATAAAATCAAAGGATGCTAAATCAAAACTACATATTTTGATGTTCAAATTGAATTTGTAATTTTTTTTTATTTAAACATTTTTGTTGATGTTAGAAAAATAGTTATATCAATCTTGAAAAGAAATAAAAATTAATTTTTCAGATCTTGCCGAGTAAATAGATCAGATCCGGACGCGGCTATTGCTCCGCGGCGATACGGACTCGACCCGCTCCTACCCACTCCGGGGTACCATAGCATGTCGGGAATAAGGGGGGACATACTGGACGTAACCACTCCCTTGGTTGGGGGCTGTGCCGCCCTGTCTTTCGATCGATACACAGTTGAGGAGGCCGATCACGAACGCTACAGGTGTCTAAATTTAGCAATCTTTAACTTAAATAAATCATTATGTAAAAAAATTAACCAAAAAAATACAACATTTTTAAAAATAAAATAAATTAAACGTATTCCACAAAAATTTTAAGTACTATTTTATCAAAAAAAAAATTAAAAGTAGAAAAGTAACAGTGATGAAAACGAAAATACAAATTATATTATATAGAAAAGATACCCTATCAAAATAAATTTGTCAAACCAACATATAACTACATAACATATTCAATATAGTCTCAAAATATTAAACCAAAGAAGAAGTAAACCTTGTTTTAATGTCTCTTCCATTTTTTATATATGTTCAACTCAATTTATTGTGTAAATATATTTTCTCTCTCTTGTTAGTGGTTGCTAGCATTCTAGATTTAAAGTAGATAAATGACCCACTTATTCATGTGTCAAAAAGTTAATGGAGCCTCACCCAACTTTTGTTGGTTGTACCTC